ATTCATTATATATATTTATATATATATATATATTATACTATATATATATATATATATATATATATATATATATATATACGGTCGAGCCTTGACAATCTTAAGACACAAGAGCGGACACATTAGACAACAACTAGCACACAGTATACCTATTCACAACTTCATATACCTTTTGATTAAATTTCGATTTCTATATCAAAGTGTGTCTACACAACGCTTACATTACACACACACACAATACAATACATTCCGTTTCACGCACTCATCACATTAGAGTACACCCCACACACTACAATGGCTAAACGCAAAGTAAACATGTTTGAGGATGACCTCGTGGATAGCAGCAGTGATGATTCTGGCAGTGAACCAGAGTCTGAAACGAAGACAAAGGGAACAAATAGTACAGATGTAAATGATAATCTACCGCTCAAGGAGGCGAAGTTTGACTTTGATACGTTGAAGAAACATGGATACACTGAGAGTGCGGTATGTCGCATATGTGTATACTTCTGTGTGATCTTTTAATTGTTGGTGCTATCCTGATCCTAGTATACCTATTATTTATAGTTAGTGTGTACATCACAGGACAAGTTTGACTCCAACGCGTTAAACACTGAAGGTGATGTATATCGTGTGTACTTGGAATATATTCGTTGTTGATATTCTAATCCTGGCATACCTGTCATCTATAGCTTGTATTATCTTGTATGTAAATACTCAAAAAGGTTGACTTTGATTTATTGAAGAGACATTGATTTACCGAAAGTGCGGTATGTATGTAGCAATGCACTTTTATATAAAATATTAGCTTTGGTATACATATCCTTATAACGAGTTTTGATATGCATCACAGGTGGTCTGAGCCTTTTATCGGTGTCGCGGATCGCCATCCTTTTATTTGTATGTGCTACTAGAAGTGTGTAATGTGGATACCACAGTCAATTAGTATAATCGACTTTTAGCTACTGAGTAGCTACGAGTGCTGCATGAATTTGCAACGCAGAACTCGATAGTATGTGGGCGATTTTTTTTAAATTGTCTTCTCTGACAGATTACACGAATGTTTATTCTGGAGATAGATATGCCTGGTGAACGTAGGTCGACCTTTAAACACGATGAATGTGTGCCATGTTGTGATCAATATGGGTACAATTTATAATATGTATCCAATACGTTTCTTCGGAGACGCAGATGTACCCTGGCATGTGCATTGGACTGCGCGAGCTCATGTCATGTTTTCGCACCAACGTCCTCCATTACACGACCGTAGGTGATCGCTAGTGTAGCTTATTGCCGTATGTGATTAATGAAAGTGTTCTGTTCCTTGCGCATGTAAATTTGTCCAGATATATGTATGGGGGATCAAAAATACGTACATTGATATGTGTGACCCTATATTTCGTCGTGCCTTCTTGATCTTTTCCTGTATTCTTTCATGGCCACTAAATGCATGTTCTCCAGAACGGATTTTATTTATGCTATGATTTGAATTGCAATGCACGGTTGTATTCTTTCTAGCTTAACTATATGTGCTTAAAACACATACATCGGGATTTAATTTACGAGCAATCCTCGGTTTCTACCAACCCCATCTTTCAGATTATCAATGATGATATAAGCGTATATGTAGCTATAATCTTATATTTCAATTGATACCGCGCACTACAGGTGCTGACGGAGACGCCCGAGTTCGGTACACTGCTGGAGAAAGAAAAGACCGAAATACAAATACAGGTAGTTGTACATCATGTATATTTATAATATGCTATCACGCAAGTAGAGGTGATTGTGGACTCATGATTTATATTGCGCATTCTGGAATTGATATCGTAGAAGTTTGTTATAGTCTATCGTATGATTATCATCTCGACAAGTATAAGTATTAATTGTGCACAGTGTTTAATATGTTTTGAGATCGTAGGATAACAGGTATTGTTCGGAATCAATGAGAACATGGGTAGTTGTGCACTACGTATTGTCAGGATTTTTCTACACTTTGTATAAGACCTTCTGACTATAAATTCATATGGTCATAATATCTATTATTGCAACGAGTGAAGGTACTTATGCACCTTGTAGTGTTACGAATTTGGTATTACACAGGGTCCTCGTGTTTCATGTATAGTATTGATTGAGATTAGCACACGTATAGGTAGTTGCGCACCTCGGAGAATGATGGTTTGTTGTTGAAAAAGTACAGGTGTGTACACTGTGTAGTACATCTGTAATGTTGATGGCACAAAGGGTTATCGTGAACTGTAGAAGGTCTGGTGTGATTCTACTGCAAACATGGATAGTTGTGCCGAACGCTTTATATCATTGTTCAACAATACAATTCTATGGCGACTGTGGATATGCACGAGTTTTAGAGAATTATTTGTGCTTCTGAGTATATGAGATACAAATAAAGCAAATTCACAATGTGTATCATGTTGATTGTGGTTGCTACGGAACATAGTACCAGTGTAATACGTATAACTCTGATTGTGCTCGATACAACTAACGCTGGTCGTGTGATTTGTGCCATTCTGCGAGCTATTCTCTAAGTTATGTTCATTGGTGCGTTAACTGGGTTCTATTCGCAGCGTACCAGAGATGCAAGGGCGTGTCATGGCATGTCGGTTCATAACCCTGTCGTAAATTGGCGCATCTCATTCGTGTATATTCGTGCTCGTAGTGTATATAATTATAATACTGAACTTTGGTTAGAAATCCATCAACACCGTTGTAGTACATATAGTTACAGAAATATAAACAAAGGTGAGTTAGAAACTGAATTTATCTAGGATACATGTATTTGCATATGTCGATGTTTCATCTTCTCATATAGGTTCGAGGAATGGTGACATGGAAACTGAACTCTCGTAGGATAGATACATACACCTATATAGACGCATGTTTTATATATTGATAGGATTTGAAGAGTACTGAGCTCAAGATTCAATACCCTTAGCACACATAAACTTGCATATGAACCTGCATTTGCTAGTATTAAATGAATAAATTGTCGCTTGTGTACGACAACAGCAAGGTAGGTATGCTTGGTTTTAAACATACGGTAGCACCTGAGAAAAACCCCAGTTTATCATACACGAATTATCGTTTCCTTGAAGAAATTGCACATATCATATGGTGGCATACATAGAGAACTCCAGCTTTTGTACACGTGCGGATATACATTGGAATACTGATCCATATTTATATATATTTGTTATGAACAGGAACTGCGCGACGAGCGTGAACGTCAACGACTGGCAGCGCTAGCAGAAGAAGAGAAAGAATTACAAGCCATTGAAAACCAGAGGCAAGCGGAAGAGGACCAGTCATCGGCGGAGCGAGAGGAGGCTATAAATAGAGCAGAGCGGGCTAAACAACGGGCCCAAGAACGGGCCGATAAAAAAAGTGGACTACTGGCAGGTGCGGAAGGGGCGAAGAAAAGTGGACAAGTGGATCAGGAGGAGAGGTTGAGTGGGAAGGAGAGGGTCAAGAGACAACGGTTGGCGGGACAGTCGGGGATAGGGGAAGATTTCAAGGGGTGGAAGAGCGAAGGAGAGATGCTGCTTAGGCAACAATTTGATTGAATGAATATTGCCTTTATATACTTGCATTCAAGATTAAATACGCTCTTACATCACATATATAATTGAATAATAAACACGTTCATATACACATACTGCCGTCAGACCTGACTGCTGTAGGTATGGTAAATGGAGATTAAGTTCTGCTTGGATGTTATGTACATTCGATATGTATAAATTGATACTAATACAACAGGTGAGAACAAAGGCTGCCCCGACAATCCAAACTATTCACGCCCGGAAAATTTTGCGAAAAAGTAATGCGCAACCAATCTGTCCGTTTGGACAGTATCTATTATCCACAAATGTCGCCTACGTCTGCGTCTCACTACCCGTTGCATTTACTTGATCTCTATTGCCCGTGGTCTAACCGTTACATTTACTTGATTCTCTATTCTCTATTGCCCGTGGTCTAACCGTTACATTTACTTGATTCTCTATTGCTCGTAGTCTACCCGTTGCGTTTACTTGATCTCTATTGCACGTGGTCTACCCGTTGCGTTTACTTGATCTCTATTGCCCGTGGTCTACCCGTTGCATTTACTTGATCTCTATTGCCCGTGGTCTACCCGTTGCATTTACTGGATCTCTATTGCCCGTAGTCTATCCGTTGCATATACCTGATTCTCTATTGCCTGTAGTCCGGACAAACTCTCACCTGATGTGTCCCATTCCTTGTACTCGGGTGCAGGGACGCACCCCATTTAGCAGAATAACGCATCTATCTACAACGTCCTTGTCAACGCAATCGTGCTATAGAAGTTAAACCACTACATTGCTTAGTTTCAGCTGCCAGTGATTCCGTCATGAGGAAGTGCTTATCGTACAATGTATTCTATGCTTTCCTTATCAAATTCTGCCACACTGGTATCACATCAATCTGTGAAGCCAAATACGCTATATGAATTCTACTACATACACCATTTGATTTCACTTGGTAGTGGAGATTTTCTGATCTGTCTGTGTGTGTGCTCTCCACCTTGTCTCTGACTTATTTTGCGACAGTGATATTCTGCCATCACTTGTACGATATGCAGGTTCTACCTCCGCCCATTTTGGCGGGAGGTACTCGAATTTACGTTAGATAGATTCACCGTATTTCTGGCTCCTGCCAGTTTATTCTTCTCGACATATTTGGCCACATTGATTGCAAGGATGCGTTTAACTACTTTCTACCCCTAAAAAACCCCTAAAGCATATTGAATCCAACTAAATTACACTTACATGAATGATACCCTATCAGATGTATACATGATCCCGTTACTCGACTTTCGCCTTGGGCTATTTTCTTATGTTTAACGAGGTTTACAGAGCCCTACATCAGTTTCTACGACGATCTAACGAAAGAATTCCCAACTATCTAAAAACCCATAGTGCTTCCTTGCGTACGTACCGATAAAGCGGTCATCTACAAGAATGACTGCATTTCACTGTACTTCACTTGAGTTCCATGTGGTCTGCCAGGAATGTTTCTGATGCTTACATCGTAAGCTGCGACACCTCTAGCTCTCACAGGCAATTTGGGCGTAGGCCCATGCGTGCACCCACTCACTGCACATGCTGTTAGTCACTTCGACTTCTCTACTCTACGAAATTGTCTCTGACCCACTGATTTTGACTAGCTTTGACTAATTTTGCCGCCGAATCAATTTCTACTCCTACATCTACTGTGGCGATACTGTTTTTGTTGCATAAATCTGTCACGCTGCTCCCGCCAACCCGGTAGCTCTGTCGCACGTGCATAGGTCAAATCAATTTAACCGGTGCCAGACAAGAATACACCCATAGTACGCCCGAATAAGCAGTGACAGGGTGGTTACGCAACGACATGAAATTCATAAGGTAGATCGAAATACCAAAGTCCACTACTAGTGCTCTGACACCATAGAGTCATAAAGCCTACAGTGTTGAGAAGTCGCATGATACACATCGTTGTAAGTCATCTCCGCATATTCCTGCTTTAGGGGACACTCACGATCTCATTGAACGAGAACATCCAGTACACACGATGTTTCTCCTTTTTAAGATATGGAACCCACTTCGATCCGTCACCTACGAGTGTTACCTAGTCCATTCGATGGCTCGTGAAATACACGATCAATTCAACTAATCTTGTAGTGCTGCTTGAAATTAAGCGATTGTATCGTATCGGCATACCCGGTACACCGTTGGTTCATGAACTAGAAACTAACTAATACCCACCCGGATGCTTCTGCCGAAGGACCGATATATCTCCAAAAGTGATTCCCATTTCGTTGCTGCTGGAAGATCACACTGTTCACATCGTATCAGCAAATACCATCCTTAAAAATGGCAATGATGCATGAGTTGTCCACTAATCACTATCCTCGAGAATGGCTCTGCAAGACTGATACACACCCAAAACTACTTTCGAACAGGTCACCCCCGGACAGTCCAGCTTGAGGACGCACTTCATCACATCGATTGGGTACAAACAGCCCATGCTTTGGTTCACGAGAGTCATCTAGTCCCGAACTTCTTCCCTACGAGCTATTCTGCTGAGAAACCCTCTTGGTTGTGTCGTTAGAGAGTATCCAGCCCATTCATTGGCGCATGAGACGGTGAGTTTCCGCATGAGATTTTGAGTGAGATGCTGAGAGGACGCATGACACGAACTCGTTTCACATGATGCTATCAACTACGAACAATCCTGCCGGGGTACACTCTTGGTGGCATCGTATGAGTATATCCAATCCATTCGTTGATTCATGAGGTGTGGGCTGACGTTGTTAACCGCGCTCAAAAGGGAGTTACGCACTGCCGCAGTCCCACCCGAGGCATGGTATATATCCGAGTGTTCCGCCGAACCCCTCTGTTAGAGAGAGAGATGGTGCATATATTTAAGAGGTTAATAATTCAAGCGTTGCTATAGGGGAAAAATTTATCACCTATACAAAGATATATGTTGTGTAATCGCGCATGGGCGTATACAGCGTGGTATATATTGGAATGTTCTGCCGAGTCCCTCTGTACGAGAGAGAAGGTGGAGGGGTTTAGAGTATTGCCGTTGTTGGTAAAATTTAACAATAAGACGATACCATCTTAATAATAATTTCGCATTTTCGTCCATGCGTGTGTATTGTCTGGTATATGTCCCAACCGAGGCCCCCTAGACAAGGAAGAAGGTGTAGTTATAGAATTGTAAGTGTTGCTATAACTATAAGTGAGATATTCATCACCGATGCGAAACAAACAGCGAGCACATACCTGTACAGCCGTGGTGCGTTCTAATCGCAGCTTCTGATAGAGCGCCAGAGCCCTCTCTATAGGCAGACCTCTACTCAGACACGCAGCCAGCACGTGCGCATCTTCGATAGCCATGCCGGCTCCCTATTAGGATAGTTGACAAATGGACACTTTAGCTATCCATATCATACCAATCGCAAACGTTTCGACTTTGAACGAACGCTAGCTACCGTGTGCAAAATGAAATGACAAGTTACGAAGCATCCTAATCGTAAACATCATATTTAACTGTGAACATGGATGACGCCTGGAGCGGTACTAAACCCATTCAGACTTCTATACGGCACTCAAGTATAGGTTAAGAAAAAAAATTACAAGATACGATAAGTGAATAGGGAAACGAATAGAATTCGAGGCGTCATTGAAAGTCTTTGAAGGTCTCAACTCATTGCAGCAATGGGAAGTTTCAAGCGTTGTCTCCGTTGCTAACTGCACAGTTAAGTGCACACAATTTAAGATTGAACAGTTACGGACGCATACCTGCGCCATGAAGGGAAGCATGGAGTGCGCAGCGTCGCCTAGCAACGAGATTTTATCAACAGACCAATAGGGTAAGGGCTTGTGTAGGTACAGGCCCCACTTGAACACAGGCTCGGGACTCTGTACCAAGTCTTCAAAGATGCGATTCAAAACGGGAGACGGCGTGTGGAATAATTTTACCATATCCTCTACCGCTGTGTAGATGATGAATGAGTATATGCTAAGTAAAGAGTCGTACTAGATACATATACACATCTATATATGTATATATAGAAATATACAACCCTTTATACATGTATTTACATTAAATATCTGTATAGTACACGTAGTTCCGAGTGATAACCAATCATTGCGGCTGGGGGCTGGGATAGGTAAATACAAATCTCACTTCAACTCCAGCTTAGCATAAAGTGCCAAGTATCTGAAGTTACAGCGAGATGTATGCGACGGCGTGCCGAATATTCATCTGTTATTAATTGTAGTCTTCCCTCCCTCTCCATACGATGTTCGTCAAATGATGAATACCCTAACGTATATGTGTACGTATTGATCAACCAATCGACACATTTGTATATATATATGCTGAGAAGATACTTGACCACAGACTGCGCTCTACTCTCCTTTTCTGATTCGCACTCCGTCTCCATTGCACGAAGTTCTATACACTGCCATGTGATATTGGTAACAGAGATCCACACACACATAAACTAAAAGCTCTGTATTCTAGATTGGAGACGAGGTATTCACATACGCGCAGGCTCATTTTCCTGCTGCCCGCTCCGTCTAATCAGTACATGGTTCTTCCATGTTCCTCGAATGCACATAACACATTAAGGAATATAGACCTATACATATTTATGTATATAACCTAAAACATCATATGCATATGAGTACGTAAGTTAATATACACTTACCCACAGGCTCTACCCAGCTCTCGTTCTCCTGCTGTGCGCTTCGTCTGACCAGTACGAGGTTCATCCACTGTTGAGAGTACTTTGGATTCCCGTTAGGGTATGCAACCACATGGTGATCATCTCCAAGCCATACTGTGGTGTGGCCCAAGAGCTCGCGGTACGACTCTTGGTACGGCAGGATCGCCCTGTAAGCGGTACACCCGCTGATAAGGAACAGAAGAAGAAAAACAGGATAAGTGTTGTATTAACCTATGTATATATTGGACACAAATTGTGGACTAGTTGTTGATCATGGCTCAGCCAGAACGTGGCGTAGCGAAGAGGCCCACAGTAGAGCTCTTGGCGCTACAGGATGGCACAGTAGACCTTGCACCTATATAGCATAAATGGGGCAGCAGACTCTCGCCTTATATCAAATACGAGGGATATAGTCTGACAGAAGAACAAAACTCATGACTTGCCAAACTATAAAAAAAATGAATATATTGGTGATTTGTATATAAAGTTGTGCTAACGGCTAGGTCTAGAAAAAACAAGCACTAATTCCGCACAGCGTACTGCGTACACTCCACTTTAAATAATTATGTATTCTTGACCCTATGAATGTCTGTATCGATATATA